GTGTTACAACTGATCCACATTACAACTATCCCCGGTCTCCCCTACTAAAGTTATTGTGCATAAAAAAATCAGGTGACTATAAGGTGGTCAGGTGGGAACAGTTCTCATGTTTTTTTTGACTTCTTCTAATTTGCTTTTTGTCCTTTTCTGCCTCCTAATTTACAGCTTTTTGCTGTGAGCTGCTCAGTGAGAGAGCGTTGTGGACTGTGTTTGTCCAGCCTTTCCATTCCTTTTCTTTTAACATTTTTTTTTTTTTTTAAACACCTTCCCTGCGGGAAAGTGAGTAGGACAGCATGTTTACCTGCTCAGCGTTTGAAGGCAGAATCACTTAAAGCACTGCAATGTGATGGACTAGGAGGAGTTCTGGTTGTTGGTTTTTATGTATGTGTTCCTATAAATTGGAGTGGAGTTCGGAATAGTGAGAACACCAAAGCAGAAGCAGGAAGTCAAACCGGATTCTTAAAGAAAAATTTGCAGTTTATTTGAGGCTGAAGAAGAATGAAAAACAGAAGGCAACTCAGAGGAAACTGACTAGTGCTACGTCCACACGTACACGGGTATTTTTGAAAACGAAGATTTTCCGTTTTCGTTTAGAAAAAAAAATCCCGTCCACACATAAAAGCCAAAAACGAAGGAAAACGCTGCTAGGAACATGCCAAAGCAGCAGGTGGCGCTATATTCCTATCCGTGTAGAAATGTTGGCCAATCAGAAGTCAATAAGTCTGGGTGGGAAAGCGTAAACAAAGATGGCGCATAGAAGCAGAACTGAGTCGCATGTGTGGAGGGACAGTAACTGTGTGTGTATATGTAAGCATTTAAACACTGCAGAGAGTAAAATTCACAGTATTTTGTCTAAGTTCGCCATTGTAGAAATTCATTTCACCGAAACAGTAACGTGGCGCACAGTGTGACGTCAAAAAATGCGCACACCTTTGACACTGCGTTTTCTCCGTTTACCTCGTCCACGCGTAAACGCAAAAACTGAGTTTTTGAAAATATTCACCCTGGCAGGAGTTTTTAAAAATCTCAGTTTTCAGTGATCGAAAACGCCATTTACGTGTGGACGAAAAGCGCAAACGCATAGAAAAACCTGCATTTTCAAAAATACCCGGGTACGTGTGGACGTAGCCTAGAATTAAACTGGGAAAACTAAGATACTGAACACATGCAATTGTGAACATGGGGAAAATAGAATTGATATTACAGGTGAAGCGAAACTGAACACACTGAACCGATGAGATGAGAGACTGTCAAAATAAAAAAGGAAACACACTCAGACGCAGACTAAGACACATGGGCTTGACACTGGGACCTGGGGAGAAACTGGGGTGATAGCAAGCGACACAGAGAGGACGAGAGACGTCACGGGCTGGTGAGAACACACATGGATGCACATGACAGACAGGGGAGCCAAGGATGAGACACAAGGAGGAAAACATGGAAACAACTAACACACGGCTAAGACAAGACACAGAGGGAGGGGGAGCAAGACACACAGAGGGAAAGCAAATGCAGACATAACTGGGGAAACCTTAAACTCAACAACATTAGAAGAACCAAATCTCAAACATAAAACATCTTAATAAAGCAAAGAGTAAAAAATCCCAAAGTGAACTATTGTTATAGTTTAAACCCTAAATATGTGGCATCTCAGGGCTTTAAATGCATATAAAAAACATGAAAACATAAAGCGAAACACTCAAGATAGCTACACGCGGTAAACTTTTCTGATGTGGGAATGGTGGACTGCATCTGATGCAATAGGATTAGGCTACTTTGAAACCTACCGCCTCTCAAAGGCATTTTTTCCAAGCTGTGTTTTTGACAGAACAGAACATTTAACCGAATTTACTTGATTTAAATGTATTATTTATTTAGTAAATTCATTCTCAATAATTTAGCATTAAAATGCATGGAAAAATAGATATTGCCATAAAAAATTTATGGAGGATATTTGCGGTTTCTGCAAATTTGCAAGCGTTTCTACAAACAAGAACAATCCACAAGAGACTGAGGCAGTGAACTTTGAACCGCGACTTCACGGGGGTATACTGTAGTATATAATTAATAATTGTAGGTGACACTATATAATTAGGCTAAGGGTATAATTTTCTTGTAATTCAATAGAATTCAACTTTATTTTAAAATCACAATGTAATTGTGTTTACATACAAATATTGTGTAGGTGACTCGCACTAAATTATGATGATAACAAATCCAGTTTTATTTGACAAGAAATGAAGAAATAATTATACTGTAAATATATTAAAGTACTGTGTAATTAACCCCAAAAGTTGATTCTGTTCATTTGGACGTAACGTTTTCAGTGGGAGAAACGTTTCATCACTCATCCAAGTGACTTCTTCAGTCTCAGCTGACTGCAGGTTTCTCCGACCTCAGAAACAGTACATTTGCACAATAACTAAACCTTGCCCACTGAATGAACAATGGGCTGTGAGGTCAGTTCCTTGATCATTAATATGCAAATTGTCATGACCATTGATCAACAACCTGTGTAATTAAATTTAGGTATTGCACAACTTCTTGTATTTTACAAGAATGGGAACATAAATTATAATGTGAGTACTTTGAAGTAACTTGTTCAGTTTCATGGTAATTTCCCCATCTTGCATTGTAAATACGTTGTACTTTTTGTACTTGTTAACTTTATTCTAATCCAAGCACTGCAGCAAAAACTTTTAGGACAAGAGTTAATTTCCTTAAATGTGAAAGTGCTTCCACGTTATGCAGAAAAGTTCTGACACTTTACAAAATTACTTTGCTGTTCGAGGAGAGAGATCAAAGGTCAAATGCAGAGCAACAGGAGCCAGAGATAATAATGTTTTAGTACTTGGCTCCAGTCTTGAGCACTTTGTCAAACATGCCAAAGCAGTTTTCACTTCCAGTTATGTTTTTTTTTATTTTTGTTTTTTATCAACCCCTTCATAACCTCAGGGAGGTAATTAATCAAATCCTGAGGGAGGAAAGTGAATGACGCAAGGCTGGGAAAAGGAGTGGCACCCAAACCAGGTGATCGAGAGGGAGCGGACGGGAGCTAGAGGTACTGAAGGCGAGAAGGGAAACAAAGCAGGCAAGAGGAAAAGGAGAGGAGAGCTCATGAATAGGAGAGTAAAGTTCCCCAGACAGGAGTTACATAAGCACCTCTGACCCAGAAACCTTTCACAACCGGACTGAACTTGCCCTGAGATGGAGAGGACGAAAACAGCCGGAGGAGAGAGGAGGCGTGGGAAGGAGGTGAAAGAGGAGGGGATTTGTTTAACGGATGTGTACATCCTTTTACAGCAGCTGTATGTGTATTGTGAATTAAATAGTTTGTGACTTGTGCATAGGTGCATGCTTTTAGATTAGCAACACTACTATGAAGCATTTTATTAGCGTGAGAGTTATATTGACTAAAACACATGAATGAAAGGTTAGACGGGACGTGGAGGGAGCAGGCAAGGACAGACAGAGATTTGAATAATGGAGGCAGCAGGAAATGAGGTGAAAGACGAGGTGAGAGTGATTTAGAAGGAAGTCGAGGCTGGTGGTTGCTGACAGGTGTGCACAGTCAGACGCAGAGGAAAACAATAAAGAACAAACGAGGACGGGCGCGAAGAAGGACAAAGGCAAGGCGAATTTATTTACCTGAGCTTCAAACAGAGGCCTGCACTGGAATGCAGACGAGGAAAGTAAACAAAGCAGTGGCTGGTGAAGCCTTTGGGAAGATTGATCACTTAATGAAACGCAATGAATCACTGCATTGTTACAGATAAACAAATATAAACCGATAATGTATGAGGATGCTTATAGAGGTTGTACAGGCAGAGCTGAGGTCGCTTGAATGGATAAGAATGCTTAGATCCAGCCTGCTTGCAGCACATGTATATTGTATCAGCTCAGTCAATTCAAGTAGTTTGGAAACCAGAAAACATCAGTAGTTCTGGGTTTGGACTCCCTTTTATCTTCAGAGATTCTCTAATTCTTCATCGGATGGATTCAACAAGGTGCTGGAACCATTGCTCAGAGATTTTGCTCCATGTTGAAATGATGGCATCATATAGTTGGTGCTCATTCAAGATGATAATCTCCCTCTCCCCCACATCCTAAAATCCTGTCTTGGACTGAGATCTAGTGACCGTGGAGGCCATTTGAGTTTGAGATGATCTGAGCTGGAAGCTGATTAGCTATTTAAATAGGTCTGCCCGGTGAAGAAGCTGGTGAGTGTTTATATCACACAGCTTTTTTTTTTTTAATTCTTGCCATGCCAGTGAACCAGTTTCTTTAAACAGCTACTAGAAATTGCAAGAGAAGTAGGTTAATGACAAATTTGTCAAACACAAGATCACAGCGTTACTTGCTCAACTGAAGGGATCTCCTGTCCTGTTCTTTGCTTACATTTTTGTCTGTCTTAGAGACTGTGGTGCCTCTGAAGAGTGCTGCATGAATAAATAAATATAGCTTGTTCAGTTAAGTTGGCAGCCTGCTACAGCAGATTGTAAAAGGCTGCCGTAAAAGGAAACAGAACAAACATCAAATGGATTGAAGTCAAGTAAGGATACTCAAAATTCCAGGTAACAAAACGCGTAAACCAACAGATGAAAGATTTGGGTCATGCAGAATTAGCAGCCATCAACACAGAGCACAGAGTTGTAGACATTCGGGTGAACAATGTGGGTTTTGAACACCTATTAGAAATGGAACTTATATGTCAGACTGGGAAATCACGCTGTTAAAAATAGGACTATTTGAGACTGACTTGCTGGAAAACAACCATTTAAAAAAAACGTGTTGGCTAAGTTTCACAGCATATTGTGCATCTTCATACCCTCTTGGGTTTGTATTACTGTTTTCAATAATGCATTTATGCATCACATCAGTTTTAAAACCTTTAAGGGTGGTTTCACAGCTAGTGCAGACCTCCATTTGGTGGGCTCTGCAGTGCTTAACTTCAACTCTTATATTGTTGCCTTATCCCTTTTCTTCTTCTCTATCCGCAGGTAAAACCATGGACCTGGACAGTGCTCCATAACCTCGCTTGCCCCTCACCTCCCTCCTGATCACCTTTTCTCCTCCTCCATTTGTCCTCCTTCCCCTTCCTTTTCTGTACTACCTGTTCACGATGACAACCACACTGGAGACGATGCTGGCACAGCCTGACCTGGAGCTGGGCCCTGATCGGATGGACGGCTGCGAGGCCGCTCGTGGGCATTACAAAGTGGTTCCCTCCGTTGTCTGCTCGATGTGTTGTCTCTTTGGCATCATTTACTGTTTCTTTGGTGAGTTGAACAGGTGATGTTAATGCAGCAGCAGCAGTTGTTCTTTGTTCTATTTAAGACCTGTTGTTGAGGTCATGTGTTTCTGGCTCTTTTTTTTCAGGATATCGCTGCTTCAAGGCGGTTATGTTCCTTACGGGCCTGATGTTCGGCTCCGTCGTTATCTTTATGCTCTGCTACAAGGAGCGCGTGCTGGACACCCAGCTGAGCGTGGAGGCCTCAGTGGGCATTGGCCTGGGCATCGGGACGCTCTGCGGCCTGGTCACCATGCTGGTTCGGAGCGTGGGCCTCTTCATGGTGGGCCTGCTGCTTGGCCTGCTGGTGGCCGTGGCTACCCTGGTCGGCATGGAGGAGCTTTCTGACAGCCCGCCGCGCTCTGTCTGGGTGCCCCTGGGCGTGCTGCTTGGCCTGGGCATGCTGTTTGCTGTGCTCACCCTGCAGTGGCAGCGTCTGTTTACAACGCTGTCTACAGCGGTGTTCGGGGCAGCCGTCATCACGGTGGCTTTGGACTACTTCGTGGAGCTCTTTGCCCTTGTGCTGTACATGTATGAACGGATTAAAGCAGAGTCTGGAAAGCCTGTGTGCTGGATGACATGGGTGGTCCTCGGAGTGTGGCCTGCCCTCACCCTGCTGGGTGTCATGGTCCAGTGGAAGGTGACCGCTGAAGGATACTCCCATACCAAGGGTGAGGAAAGCTGGTTCCAGTGTATATTTGTGGTTTGCTGCTCTGGTTTGCTGCTGACTGTAGCAGTTCACCATTTTTCTTCCTAGAAGACATACCTGTAGGAATGAGTCTAAAGGAGAGCAGGGGGTTCATTCCAGTATATTTATTTAAAAGATTTATATACTAATTATTTAGCACATATAGATTTATAAAGCAAAATATAAATCTACCTTTAAATTATGATATAATCTTATAGATTATGGTGGCAATAAATAAAATAATGTATCTTTTGTTGTGGGTTTGCAATGTATATTATACATTTTACACACACACACACACACA